CCAGGAAAGGCGCAAAGCTACACAGAGAAACCCTGTCTCGGAAAAAACAAAAACAAAAACAAAACAAAAAAAAAACCAAACAAACAAACAAAAAATCTGGCAACGCAAATATGAAGAAAATAAAGTCAAACTACATAGATAAAGGGCGCATCCTGAGGAAAGGCATGGGAAATTCAGGCTATACATACTCTGGCTAACTCAAGTATGAAAAGGGTAAATGCTGGTGAAAACGAAGTTGGAAGGATAAGCCAGGGCCTTATCTGTAGAGGGTCTCAGACATCCAAAATAGCCACAGTTACCTTACTGTTTAAGTAGGGAAAAAGTCAGGCTGGAGAAGTGAATTTGATACTCAATGGCATGGACGTGCTGGCTGAGGCCAAACATTTTCCAAAGATTTAATGGAGCCAGAGAAACAAACAAACAAACAAAAACCAAGAACAATAAAATAAAACAAAACAATACCAAAGAAACCTCCTTGGAACTGAGTAAATGGAAGACCTACTGGTGAAAGTTTCAAAGTTCTTTAGTAGTATGGAAAGTCAGTTTGTATGTCTACAGTTATAAGAAGTAACTCTAAAAATCTGGAGACAGACAACTTTTTGAAACGATTTAGGACACAGGGAAAGACAGAACTGTAGTGGTGTCTGTGTCTAGAGTTTTATGTACTGAGGGGATATAAACAAAATGGATCGTGTATAGTAGATAATAATTGGGACACAAAGAGTTGAAATCTTGTGTCTGGCCCGAGGAAAAGATGTCGAGATAGGAAAGTTGTTTTTAAACAAAGCAACAGTTTTTGCAGTAAAAAATAAAATATTTTCAAAAGAAATCTCAAGGGTTTCATTAGAATTATTGAATAGTAACTAAAAGGGTTGAAAAGAGCTTGCTAAAAGCCAGGGGTGACTACACAGATATCTTTGGCGATGATGAGACTTTCTCCTTCCCCTTACCCAATGCTGTGGGTATCAATGAAAAGAATGGACGGGACGGGACAAAACATCCAGTCAAACTTAACCTGTATTAAATGTTGCATGTGGTCTGTAAGGAACGGCCAAAAAGTCAAGATTCAAATACTACACGGAACATATATGAACAGTACTAAAAAGGATTCGTTGTTTGTAATCTTAGAAACGAACTGAGAGCCTGGAATTTATACTTGCTACACGGGTAGCAACTCTCGATGCTACCGGGAAGATTTTGAAGATCCATTTTAAATGACTCTGGGAGCCAGTCAAGAAGTCGTAACTGAGCCGGGCGGCGGTGGTGGCGCTCGCCTTTAATCCCAGCACTCGGGAGGCAGAGGCAGGCAGATCTCTGTGAGTTCGAGGCCAGCCTGGGCTACAGAGTGAGCTCCAGGAAAGGCGCAAAGCTACACAGAGAAACCCTGTCTCGAAAAACCAAAAAAAAAAAAAAAAAAAAGTTGTAACTGAAGCGATCCAGGAAGAAGGGCGGGAGGAGGGCAGGAGAAACAAGCACACAGATGTGCAGAACTGAGACCGTTCTGAACCCAAAGCCTAGGAGTCCCTGGGACGGGCAAGGATGACGGCGGGGCACGGCAGGAAGGCAAAGCTGACACCCACAGACCCGGAGGAGAAAAAGCCGAGATCCCACGAGAATCCCGCCAGGCTCCTCCCGCCTCCTCCTCCCACAGACGCAGCCCCTTAACTTACACTTCTCGCACACCATCCTCCCACCGACTGTGCCCCTCAACCTCCAAATCAGGAGCGGCCGCCAGACGACATCAACAACCCAGCCGGAGGAGGCCGCCCCTTCCGGTTACGTCAGCTCGCTTCCGCTCTCTCGGCCGCCTGCTCCCGCCTATCCCGCACCTGGAAAGCCGCGGGAGGGACGAGCGAGCGCCGATGGGCGGGGCTTCTCTCATGGGCCCGCCCCTCCTCCTCAACGATTGGCTGTGGGCGTGGGAGTCCCCACCTCCTGGGTCTGCGCCTGCGCCAGGGCCATGGCAGCCGGCCGCACCTGAGGAGGGTGGGAGGCGGCGGTGTCCCCTTCCCGTCGGCGGGCGGGAGAGTTAGGTAAGCCGGCGGCATGCCCCTCACGCTGGCCCGGGGCGGGCTCAGGCTCCTCTGCCGGCTGCCGCGGTGGCCTGCCGAGCGCCACGCTTCCTGCGGACCAGAGGATGTCCCGCAGCATGGACCCTCGGAGATCCCGGCATCCGTCCGCGGGACCGACCCTCTGTCACCCGGGGCGGGGGACGGGGGGCAGCTCCACCTCGCTCTCTGATGACGCCCCTCCGTTGCCCACACTCCCGCCGCCCGAGGTTCGGGCAGAATTTCGAGCCACCCTGGGTGGGGTTGAGCTGCACCTGGGCAGAGGCTGCTTAGGAGGGCTCGGAAGCATCCGCGCCTTTCGGACCCGGCTCACGTCGGATCGCGACTCGGGTTGGTGGCTTCACAGGTCTGGAGTGCTGGGGGACCTCAGGGCCCGCCAGTGTCTGCGGAAGGGCTCCATCCAACGAGCCTTGGCGTTTGGGTACCGCTCGCTAGGTTAGATCCAGGATTTGCAGGTGGCCCAGAAACGCTCTCTACTAAGAGGATGGATTCCTGATTCCCCACCCCCTGCCCGCCTGACCCCGGCCCTGGAGGGAAGAATCTGAGAAACTTGCCCCAAGTCTTTCCTTACTGTTCGCTCTTCTCCGGACCCCTGAAGGGTATCTTCATGTTGAAGAGGCTATCCTTGCAATGGCTTTAGTGTGTGTAACCTTGGCCGTGTCTGCTAACTTGTTCATCCAGTTTGCTTAATCAGTACCATATTTGCCTTTGAAAACGAATGTGTGAATTTGATGAGGGCTGATAGAACAATGCCCAAACTTGCACTTTCACCTTCAGGCCAGTTCCTCTTCCCTGCTGTATGGATGTTTCTGTTTGGGCTAGATTTTTTTTTTTTTTAAACCACAATATAACACGTATTACTTGAAGTTCTTTCTTAATTTTAGCCAATATAACAACAGATAAACTGCCAGTTAGGTCAAATATACGCCTTTAGAGACCGTAAACGTTTGTTTCTCCCCCCACTCTGCTTTAGACTAGAATTTAGAGTCTGTGACTGTTATTGTGTTTTTCCAAGAGATTTGGGAGTCCTTAGGGTAACATAATGACCATCTAATTATATTGCATATCCAAGTGTATACTTGGTTGGCATTTGGAAACTAGAGTGATTTCATCTTCCTGATTTTGGCCCCCCCCCAAAAAGTAAAATAAATTGCTTAATTGTCTCTAATACATGCCCCCTTTGAAGAGATCAGTCATGAATATTTAAAGTTCTACTGAAATTTTTAAGGCTCTAAAAGATGTTTGTATCATATTAGAAAAATCTAAAGTAACAAGATATCGAATCTATCTACACATCTTCTGCACTTTGAGACAAATATATTGCCCATAGAAAATTATTAGTACACGGTTTACTCATAGAGTATTGAAGTGTTTGGGACATGGGAAAAATCATTATTACATGTTTTTCTTAATTTGTTTTCTACTAGATAGCTACCCAAGAAAACACCATGAAAGATACTGACATCAAGAGACTTCTGTATACCAATCTTTTGTGCGTATTTTCAATTTTCCTGAGCTTTTTTATTCCATCCTTTTTCCTGGATAACTTCTCAATACTGGAAACTCACTTGACTTGGTTGTGCACTTGCTCTGCTCTTGTGACTGGTGTCAATCTCCTGTTATATTTAGTAGTGAAACCAAATGTACCTTCTAGAAGAAGTTCATTATCACATAAGGTAAGGTTGACTCATTAATAACCAGTTTTTAGATGGAAGTAATAGTGTAAGAATGAAGCATTGTGACGGGTGGTGGTTGGCTCATGCTTTTAATCCCAGCACTCAGGAAGCAGAGGCAAACGGATCTCTGTGAGTTCGAGGCCAGCTAGTTCCAGGATAGCCAAGGCTACATAGAGAAACCGTGTCCTGAAAGAACAAAACAAAGAATGAAGTATTGTTAAATCCTTATTGAGTTATTTACAGCTTGTAAAGGGAACCAAGCCCCTCCCTCACCCCCCCAAAAGCAGTAGCCTGTCACCTACAATGTTTGATAGATCTTTGTTGTTCATTAACTGTGGAATTATGGCTCCTTCAGTGCATCACAGTATAAATATTATGAGCCCTTAAATCATTGTTTTATGTCATCACTGAAGATAACTTATAAGACACTGCAGTTTGTTTTTGTTTATTTTTGTACTCTTTTATGTGGGTAGGGGTGGGTGGGTTACACTGTGCAAATGCATGAGGAGGCGCTGGAGGCCGACTTCAAGTCTCATCTTCAGAAACACTGTCCACCTGCTGTGGACAGGGTCATTCATGGTCCTGGAGCTCACCAATTAGGCTAGACTGGCTGGCCAATGAGCCCCAGAAGTCCATCTCTTCCCAGTGCTGGGATGACAAGCATGCCCCCTACTTAGCATTTTACTGTGAGTTTTAGGAATCAACTCAGTTTCTTGTTGCTTGTTGATCGAGTTAATCCCTCACCCATGTATATTTTAAAAATATATATTTTTATTCTTTGATAACTTCATACATGCATACAGTGTGTTTTGATCATGTTCATCCCCTACTCAATTCCTAATCCCTGTCCAACTTCATATCCCTTTTGTTGTTGTTATTGTTATAACCTCTAGAGTCCCATATCTGCATGGATGTGGGCCATCCACTGGAGCGTGCTCAACCTACCAGGGACCACACTCCTGAAGAAAACTGACTTTCTTTGCCTTAGCAGCCATCAGCCGTCAGTAGCTCCCTCAGCTAGGGGTTGAAGCCCAGCCTCTATATTTTCACTCCTTGAATGAGTGAGTTGTCCAGAAATTGCAAATTAAGTCTCTGGAACTGTTATTTCACAAGTGCCCTTCCTTGACTAAACAGTTAAGATTTCAGATATTGGAATCAAAAATTTTTCAGGAATAGTCACTGTTTATGGCACTTGACAATTATGTTAAATTAAAATCCTCACTGAACATTCAGTATTATATATAACACCCTATTAAACTGTTTTAAACACCTTAACTGATTTAAAGTTTAAAACCTTAATATGTGTTTTACTATTATATCTTTTTGAGTTTCAGATCAAGTGTGTTCCAGGCATGGACCTGTTTGTAGATGTTCAGGTCTTTTTTTTCTTTTAATATTGTTTATACAGCAATATGAATATGATTTTGGAAATTATTTAGTATTTTGCTTTTTTGATGTAATTTCCCCAGTTTTGTTTAAAAATGAAAGAAAAGTCTAGTGGTCATTATTTTCTGTACATAATTCATGTGTCTATATATAATAAGGTCACTGTGGTTTTTGTATCCCAACACTCTATTGTCAGTATTTCTTAAGTATTAATAATATTGTAATCATACCACATAAACAGAAATCCATTTTGGCTCTTATGCTGGTATATGGTAGAGTATATTTGTGTGATATTTGTCTTTTAAATTACAAATGTATTTATTTAGTGTGTGTGCATGTGTGCATGCAGCACAGCTTTCATAGTGAGGTCAGAGAGTAGTTCTCTGCTTTCATTGTGTGGGTTCCAGTGATTGAACTCGGGTTGTCAGGCGTGGAGGCAAGTGCCTTGACCTGCTGAACCATCTTGTTGGCCCTGACTTGTAAGTTTTTTCCAGTCTGTTTTGAGGGTTGTGTGTGTGATAAGACATGTGATCTGATTTGAAGTTACCCAATAAAGAAGGTTCAGCTGTTCCAGACATTTTGGGAACGAGTTCTATTTAGGTGTAAAATGGCAGAATTTATGGCTTCTTCAGTATCTTCTTGAGTCTTCAGTTTATTTGTTTCTCTTTTAGGTGACCAGAGTTTTGAAATGCTGCATGTACTTTCTTATGTCTTGTGTGTTCCTTCATATCATTTTTGTTCTCTATGGAGCACCACTAATTGAGTGAGTTCTGAATCTTTAACTTTATGCTTCCATATATTAACTTACTAAATGATAGGCTAGCTCTTATCAACTATAGTGGAACCACAGTGGGTTTGATTAATGATCAAGGTAGAAAACACTATTATTGTCCTGTTTTTAGTACTGTTATGTTAAAAATATTGAGACAAAAAAAAACCCATTGAGACAACTTAATTCTTCACATATTTCTGTTATTTAGCTTTCTGATACCCAACTATACATCATAAACACTGTTAATATATTATATATATAAATATAATAGTAATAAATGTATGGCTGTGGAAAACCTCTAGGTGTCTAACCTTTTGACAGTACAACACGATGTGGTCATCTACAAAGTTGTGTTTAAGAACCTTTTGATCACATTGCCAAAATATGACAATGTTGTAAGTAAGTTTATCATTTGGGATGCATTCATAGCTGTCCTTGGATGAGGGCCACAAGCTGGACATGCCTTGATATATGCAGGCAACTTACTATTGTGATATGTGTAAGTTGGTTATATATACTATTTCAGTGACTCAAATATGATTCTAGAGTAGCTGGATTTATTTTCTTAAGGGGCATAGATTCCTTTATCAAATATCAATGTTTATATTAAAATTTAACAACCTTTAAAACTGGATGAATTTCAAATTAGTGGAAACTAAAGTCACAAATATTTGTTAAATGAGACATTTTATTTTAGCAATGATTAAATGATCTTAGTTAAATGAGTGATTATACATACACATGCACACATAAAACTGCAGTTGCAGATACGTACACACACAGTTGTATACGTGCAATAAACTAACAGATTGTTCTATTTTAGGCAGGGCAGAAAAGTCATGGAAAATGTTTTTGTCTAATCCATCTCAAGAGAATCAGTGAATAGACCATGTGTTCCATAGCTCAAGGTTTTATCAGAATGAAATTTGTTAGACCTCAGTCATAAACTCTTGAGGTGAAACTTGATGATCTTTAGCTTAGTCTCTTCATGTGGTTAAAAAAAAAGCAGTTCAACTTTAAGAGTTTTGAAGATGGTTGAGGAAGAAAGCTAATTATCTAAAACTGAACTTTTTGTTTGTTTTGTTTTGCAAGAAGGCCTCAGTATGGATCTTCAGATTTTTAACATTTTTAAAATTTATGATTAAAACCATGTAATTTTCTAGGATGTTTTTAAAGCTAGTAGAATAATTTAGTCTTATTTAGTGGGTCTCGGGAGTTTTTCAGAGTAAAGTATAAGAAGATAATTGAATAGTGAATGCACTCACAAAGATGATATATGCTTATGAATACTTCTGAATACTTCTGAAAAGCTAACAGTTTTTCTTTTTTATCCCAGGTTGGTGTTGGAAACATTTTTATTTGCAGTTATTTTGTCTACTTTTACTACAGTACCTTGCTTATGTTTGTTAGGACCAAACCTCAAAGCATGGCTTAGAGTTTTCAGTAGAAACGGGTAAGTTTAAAATTCGTATTTTAGTGGCATTAGTAATTTAAAGAACTAAAGAAGTATTTTCTATTCATGTTGATGTACTCATCCTGTGAGTGTTTTGAGGCATTGTCTAGCTCTCCCAGATGTCAATAGGGGCCAGTGCTCTTGGAGATTAGAGGCTGGAGGTAGACGGTTTGAGAGGATTCCAGACAGAGCTACAGCCCCTGCCTTCCCATTAGCGAGAGACAGTACCACAGGTATAATTGCTTCTGTGCATTTCATAGTGTAGAAATGACGTTCATAATCTAGCAGTACTTTGTCTAGCCATCTCTTGTTTAGTCTTTTTATGTGCAGGCTTTGCCGGATTTCCTTTCTGTAGCTACCATTCTTATATTTCCAGCATAGCTAAGTTAAAGTTTTAGCTTCCTTAAAGCCATTGAGATAAGACATACTGAAAATCGTTAATTTTTAACTAAGAAAATCGGTGAGTTCGTTCTCACGGTTCGGACCGATTTATAACCCGGCAGCCAAACTTCTTGAGCATTGACTCTGTGTTCCACATTGTACTAGCTCTTTGGGGATTCCAGAATGTTCAGATGACACGGAGGGAGGAGCCGTGTGTTCAAGGGCTAAGAATGAGAAGAGCAGACCTGTGACTAAAGTGTACAAATCCCACAGTCAGTGCTGTAGGAGTGGGGTGTGACAAAGCCTGGCCGATAAGGAGACCCTCTGTGGTGATTGGATCAGAAATAGAGCATTTGATAAAACCAACAGCCGGAAAGACTTCTGCAGGGGCTGGAGAGGGCGTAGACTCAAGTGAGCTTGGGTCGTCTGTGTACTTTGGAAAGCCACGGCTCAAGGAGAGCGGAGGACGGGCTCTGGGTGCCCTGTCCCCGTAAGTTACATTTTTCTTTGGGAATGAATATTGGTTATTTTATATTTTGTCATGCTGTGTTTTATTTCACACACACCCCCCGCCCCCGCCCCCAACAGTCTACTCATAAAGTTTCTAGGAACAAAAGCATAACAACTGAATATCTCCCCCCCACACACACACACATTGTTACCATAGTACCTCCAATGGAATTAGCTTATTTTAGTTTGAAAATTTTAAATATGGAAACTGGCTGAAACTTTAATGGTTTATTTAGATTAATGATTTAGCCAGCTTTAAATTTTGTGTCTGGTTGTATATTGAGAGGACACATTGTCATCTGGTTTTATAGATAGTTCTTCTGTCACTTGCCCTGTGTGTTCTAAAACTCACTGTACTTTGCAAAATAAGCAGTGTGGGAAAGGCTGGCGTTAGAGACATAATGCTTGGAGACTTCATTAATAACAACAACAAAAAGAAGCTAGGAACTTATTAAAAATGGTAGCACAGTTTCACACTGAAATGGTTCAAAACCACATAAATATTACATCAAAGAATACTCTTTTCCCAGGAAAAGACTTGCAATTTGTTTCTTGTCAGTTACTGTGAAATAGTGAAAGATGGTTATTGGAAATCTGGCTAAGAATTAACTCCAAATGTGGATGAATATGGCTCATGATACATTAAGTAAACATATAGTTGGGAGGTATAGTTACATGTATTTTATGAATTTATTTATTTATTTGTGTGTGTATGCACGTGTGTGCATATATGTGTGGGTGCTGTTGTGCCATCAGGCGTGTGTGGAGGTCAGAGAACAGCTTTTGGAGGTTGACTCTTTCCTTCACTACATGGGCCCCCGAGATTGAATTCTGGTTGACAGGTTTGGCAGCAACTGTCTTTACCTGCTGTGTTAGTTAGGTTTCTTTGGCTGCAAGAAAACCCCGTGACCAAAAGCAGCTTGGGGAGGAGAGGGTTGATTTAGCTTCTATGTTCCAATCATAGTTTATCGTTGAGGGAAGTCAGAGCAAGAACTCAAGGTCGGAACTAAAGCAGAGCCACAGAAGAATGCTGCTTACTGGCTTTCTCTTCCTGGCTTGCTCCCTTGGCTCTCTTGTACACCTTCTTGCCCAGGATGGCACTACCCACAGTGGCTAAGGCCTCGCTAATCAATCATCAATCAAGAAAAGGCCCTAGACGCTTGCTTACAGGCCACTCTGATGGAGACGTTCTCTCTTGATATGACGTAAACTTGTGTCAAGTTGACAAAAAACTAGCCCACACACCTGCTGAGCCATCGTGCCAGCTCATGGGAGAAAAACTTTTGAAACAATATCGAAATATGATTCACATACCATAAATGTCACCTGCTGAAAATGTATGATATGGCCTTCAGTACAGTCACAGATATACATACCCATCACCAGACTCAATTTTAGGGTATTTTCATCACTTCAAAAATAAGTATATTTCTCGTCCTTATTGCTACCCTGTTGATGTCTCTAAGCAGCCATGAGTTTGGTTACACTCTCAGTAGGGTTGCCTGTACTGGGCATTTCATATAAAAGGAGTTCAATTTCTAATCTTTTGTAACTATTTCTCTTCCTTAGCGTACTGTTTTCGAGGTTCATTCATGTTGTAACATGCACTGATACTTGATTTCTTTCTATCGTGGTATTAGGATTAAACCCTGGGCCTCGTGTGTGGGAGGCAGGCAGTCTGTCAACTGAACCATATCCCCAGCACTACTTAGGTCAAGCAGAAAATCCAGCAAGGTTAGAGCTTGTGTACGGGATGCAGCAGTTATGTCCGAAGTTGGAAGGGTAGTAGAGGTAGACCTGTGGATCTCTGAAGAATGCAGAATTGATGAAGTAGTGTTATCTCTGAGAAAGCATCTGAGAAGCTAGTAGATGAGCTAGAGAGACTTTTCATTGAAACTTTTTAGCTAGCTTGTGAAATATGAGCCCTATTCAGAATGAGAACAGTGAGTTAGATATTGAATTGATTTCTTGGTTATTGAAAGTTGGGTCTGTAATAGGAAGCTACTAGGTTTCTCAGATGCCACCTAAATATTACTAGAGTATAAAAGCTACCCTTCCAAGATTTCCAACATGCAATTAGTTGATGAACAGGTCATTGGTAAGCTGCTAGAGGATTGTGACTAAAAAGAATCAGTTTGTAATACAAACCATTCTATTTACTGTTATATGGGATATGGCATGAAATAATAATAAAATCAACCAGAAAACAGATTTTAATAACTTTAAAGCATGTTCATAAACTTTGTGTTAGTCCTCTGAGACGGTTTACCATGTTCTTTATGAAAGTCCCGGAAGTCTGGCAGGATGAGTGCCTTGCTCAAGTTCCATAGTCAGTAAACAATGGAGCTGGAACTTGAGTCCAGAAATAAGAAGATGCTCGTAGTTCAAGGTCAGAGGGCGGATTTATGCCCTTCCCTACATGGTGGTCATCTCAGGCAAGCTGCTTAGCTCCATGAATTCTCATATGTTATCTTTATATTGATATAAATTTTATCTTGAGAAAACTACCAGGGACATTAAGAGTGTAAGATATACTCATATAAAAGTAGGTAACTTAGTCTGAATGTAGTCACACAAACTTAGCAAAGGTTTTAATATCTATTCAGTGGGGAAAGTTTATACTGAAAACTGTAAAATATTTTTAGCCACCAGGAGGAGTTGTACCCCGGCCCCTTCCTTAGATCAAATCCTTAAACCTGTTCTGATGAGACCCTGTCTAAGCCTGCATGCTTACTGTTCATTGCATTCAGTGACTGGTACATTGGCATACAAGAGGCACTCAGAGTGGCAGATTTCAGTAGATTTTAGCATAATGAAGTTCAGTGAAGTCAAGTAATATGGGCAGGTACATAGGCCTTATTGTCACAAAGAGTGATCTGTAACATTTCTTTAATTACCTTAAAATTTTATTCATAGTATGATAATAGACCATTTAGTCTGTTCTTGGCTGTATTGGCTATATGCAAATATTATATAATTATGACAGTACTAGCGGTAATAATACACTTTAGACAAGTTTATTATGGAAATCTATGAAATGAAAATAAGCCAATATTGATCCTGCATGAAGTTAGTGGGAATTTGCTGGTTTCAATTTTTTTCTCATTTCTTTGTTTCAGAAGAATGCATGTGTGTATGTTTTTTTTAGTCTAAGTAGTAAAATATATAGATTTTGTAGTAAAAGCATATTAAATTTTAAATAAAGATCAAGTTAAAAATTCAAATACAAAACAGAAAGTTAGGGAACTAATAATACTACTAAAGGGGCAATAATTACATATTACATAATAAATACATATCTTTATTACAATAAGTACATATTTTATGTCCTCTAACTTTGTTTCTTCATATAATGTGCAATTTTGAAACAAAAGCAGTTAACTCGAGTCATTGCCTTATAATTTACTTTATTCCATTGATACTATGAACATTTTTGTCTGTGTGTCTGTGTAAAGTGTACCACTTTTTGCATAGTACCCTCAGTTATCATATCTTTAAGTGAAATGAAACCTCACCCTATATTGTTTTGACCATGGAGGAATATGGTGATGGTGTAATATAGATGTTGGTGCTTCTGGATGCAGATAGGACATGGCTGTGATTCTGAGGGATTCTTCAGTCTTTGTCCTTGATCTAGGATGGAAAAGACAGTAGCTTCCTTTTCCTGTGCCTTCCTAGCCTAAGTACTGAGAAGGAGAATAGGTCACTGTGACTAAATTAGTCTGAGCATCATATCATTAAAATTGTTCTGTGATTAATTTACTATTGAAAGTTATCACATTTTCACAGTTGTAAGTAAGATGATAAGATGATATATATCTTTGTTTCATCAAACTTGAGAAAGGTTTTCTTTGAACAGTTGTAAGTAATGTGATGTACATATTTGTTTCAACAAAACTTAGGCAAGGGTTTCTGTGAACTAGATGCTGGAGTAGAACTTGGGGATCCACGGCAGCTGATTGACACTGTCAAACTAGGGTCCTAATGTGAAGAATGTGTGTACAGCTGCATAGAGTTTCTCACCAACACAACAGCCGTTCCCTGTCTCATTGTAAGGCTCCTTGCTTTTTATGAATCTCCGAGCTGCTTTCTCCTGAGACTGCCAAGGA